AAATAAACTCAATATTTTCTAGTAATTAATTTATGAAATAGTCCTTTTTTTCACTATATTCAGTTGAATGCGTCAAACGGTTATGTTTCTTTATCACAAGTCACAATCGAGTCAAGGCTACTTAGTTTGAAAGTAAAGGTATTTTTATTTCCTTATATTAGCTGTGTGGTGTGTGCTACTTATGTCGACAGACGGAAGTAGTATGCAAAATTAATCGAAAATGAAATGCCTAAAAACAGAAGGTTGAGAAGATTGAAGAGAAGAGAACGAAAACAGAGAGTGATTGGTATGGAAATAAAGGAACAGTGACGTCTGAGACAATTGATTGACATTTTGCAAATGAAGTATTTACTATATGGTTCTCGGATTTCACTAAGATTATTTAATTTCCTACTGAAATACTTTTTGTTGTTTCCATTGGTGTTCTGGTTCACTACAATTGTATTTTACATAAACCGCTTAGTATTCACATTTAGAGATTTAGAACGAAATGTGGAAAATTGTCCCCTGAACTCTTCATTACCCCATAAATGGTATAAAAAGTAACTAATTTCTACTTAATTATCAAACCTTTTCTAGGGAAAATTCTCTGATTTTAAGGTGAATAGACACTAATTTACAAAATTGTCAAAACTCAAACCATTAAAATAAACGATATAGATATATTTAAGTTCTTTACACTTCAATGGATATCTTGATTTAAATAGTCTATATATTTATTGGATAAAACTGGATATAAAATATTTCAAGGTTGATCAAGTTCGGAGGCACTATGACATTTTACTGATTTAAACGAAACATGTTTTACTTGTTATCACAGTTCAAAGAATATTCATGCAGACATTTAATGAAGCGCATCCTGATATGATTTCCTATTTTGGGAAATAAGAAATACGTCTACTAACTAAAATATTACTTTCAGTAACATATTTATAATCACTTAAGGTAATCACTTCATAAGTAATTTAGTAGTTTTAACAGTTAGTTATATATGTGTAGTAAACAATCGTTTGTAACTAATGAGTATACTCGAGATACAGTAGTAAAAAACAAAAATCGATTTCAGCTAAAAGGTTCGTTAATCAATCATGAAAATGTATAATCTTGCATAGACATATATATCAGTTCGAAGTTGTGATTATTTTGATTGGCACACAGAAAAACAAAGAAAGTATCTCGATTAGAATCACTGAAGTTAAAAAAGCAATAACAGTATGAAGGGCTAAATCATTTAGTCTAATATTATTCTTAAGAATTATAGAGAAAAAGTCAATGAATACATTTTAGCCACTGTCACTACAAATCATCCATCATACGCATCTTGAGCTACTCATATATAGTTCAATCAAATTGTCACTGATTTCATGGTCTCATATCATATGATGATTGAAAATTAAACAAATTTATATTCTATTAAGCTTAATTTTTGTTAATCTAAGTCAGTCAGTCAGCTACAATGTAGGACCACACACATATGTGCATCGATCCAAAATGCCATGCCGCATTAACACAGCAAGATGAACATCGGATTCATAGAAGTAGTTAATTCAATAGTGGCAATATATAAAAGAAAGATTGCATACAAGGATATAGTACAGGAAGAAAGAATTAGATAATCTGTGTATGAGCTAATGAAAAAGTCTAACAGCGCACTTCTATATCCTAGTTTAATATTATTCAGTTCTATATACCATTAAAATTTTATGCACAGTGGTTTCATTAAGTTATAGAATCATCACACTGTTAGTAGGATAAATTCCTGAATACTATTGTGCTTTGATCTGGCTCAAAATTTGAAATATACTGATTAGTCTATTTTTAATCAATCAGTTCTGATAGACAAACCGAAATGCTAGGAGATTCTTACATGAATTGTATATCATAAACTCTACTCTACATGGTCGATAGCATTCGATCTGCACTATTAAGGACTTGACACACATGACCTTAATCACCACGCAGTGATCAATCAATTGTGATTACATCACAGTCCTACAGGAGATCTGTTGTGGCCCGGATAGCTCAGTGGTATCGTCTCTGACTGTGAAGATGGCGTGATACGGGATCGAATCCATCAGGAAGCACCAGTTCCCTCAAGATTAGTGGTACACTTTGCTGACAAGTGCTAACCCGGGTCGGAGGTTTCTTGTCGACTACGACCAACCACCATCTAATCTACTGTTTTATCTATTTGTTCCTCTCCTTAATCGTATAAATTTTATTCACTCACAACTCCTGTTATGATTTAGGATGAAAGAAGTAAATTTCTAGGGTCATGAAATACTAAACCATAAAAGAATAAAATAATCTATTTAAACAATCTTATTATAGTTAGTCATTAAAACCTTAAAAACCGTAGATATGAAACGTGTTAAAACAAGTTATAAGTATAATATCAAATACTATACTGAATTTATGTTATTACTATTAATCAGTTGGAATATATCTGCTATTTACTATGTGGTTTATGATTCATCTTTTCTAATTAAAATATACAAAGATATTATATATTATTAAGTGCATTTAGGATTAGACAAATATAGAACATTTTTATTGATTTTACTGACATATATATAAGTCATATTACATGAAATCTTTACAACATGGTAACTAAAATTAATAAAGCACAAATAATCAATAAGTGAAGTTGTATTATTTTATTAAACTATAGAAATCAAACTCAACTCTATAGTTGAATAAAATGATTTCTTTCTTACAATGAATAGATATCAATTAGGATATAATGAAATATATTTTTTTCTTTAAAATAATCATATTAATGTTACCATCGAATTCAGTAGTATTTGAAAAGTATAATATTTTTGTTTCTCCAAATGGAAATCAATAAATCAATAAATTCGAAATAAACAAAAATAACCTTGACCATTTAAATTAAGATACAATTCTACAATATTGATTACCCATTCAAATGGATTCATTTATAAAGTTTCTATTTCTATGTTACGTATAAAATCAATTGTCAAATAAAGAGTTTTCTAATTTGTATTGGGTATTTTTGTTTTTATCTAACATTTTGCATACTATTTTTAAGTTTTTTAAGCAAAGATGAATAGTGGCTAGCAATGGAATGGAGGAGGCGCACTTCGTACTATTTGGGACTTGTCAGCTGGATGTACCTGTATCTCAGAGTTGATGTTCACTCCAGGACTCGAACCCAGTACCGTTCGTTTCAAACACCATTGCGTTGTTCACTTAGTTACTGAGTCCTAATAGCCACCTGTTTGTGCAATAGGGTGAAATTTAAATTCACTTGGTGTTGTTTTACTTGTATCTTCCCATTGTTATCCAGCAGTCGAGTCTCAAATAGGACAAAACGCGTGTCCTGGATTCCACTGCTAGACACTATCCGTCTTTGTTTAAATAGTTTGTGACTTAAGGTTATATCTAGGCAATCCGCACAGGATGCATATATGCCAACATGAGACTGATCAATTGCAGTCCTAAATAACAATGGAAAGATACAAATAAAACAACATCAAGTGAATTTATTTGTTTTTAAGTTGTTTTTTGTTGTTGTTGGAGTTAATCAATTCGAAACGTGTAAAAGATATCATATCTGTAAATGGAAAGAAAATTTATTGAATATAAATGTACTTTAGAATAGTATAAAAGGTTTATATTGCAAAAATTAAGTAACTGATAGTTCAATAGTCCTAATGAATAAAATTGCATTGATTCATTTGATGAATTCAAGAAATAAACTTATTATAACATGAAATGCTAAAATTAATTGAGCACTAATAGAATAACCATACAATCATGCATGAACTTGCAGGGTATCGTTTGATTAGGTAGAATCTTTAGAATAAATAAAAAGTAAATCTAAATATGATACAATTTGTATGATGACCTAGTGATACTATCCAACTGTTTAAACTGAAGTTAAACGGACTTGGTATTTGTGGTTCATTAGCTAAAAGTAAAAATAGTTTGATACATCTAGCTATATTTAGCACCAAACTAATATAATAGAATAGGTGATAAAATACCATTCACAAAAATAAATTAAGCGTATAGTAACTTGAAATTAATGGCTTAAATCCTATTCTTAAAACGCAATTTCCTGAATTTGATTATATGGCATTTTGCTTCATTGTTGAAGCTAAATTCACCGATATATGTATATATCAGGAAATAGCTTTTTTGAAAATACGTTTCTAACATTATTTTAAAGTGTTTTATGTTTACATGTAGTGAGTTTTTTAAAGCTTTATTTCAAGCTTCGTTTCCCTGATGCTCAAGGTAATTTATTTATATTCGTAGACCTAGTTAATCTGTAATGAATACTATAGACTCGCATAAATATGACTAAGTCCAAATCTTTTTCCACCATATCAGAGGTACATATTCTTCGAGTCCTCTTAAAGAGGCACTTAACTAGACCTCTCTTGTATTGCAATGGACAGAAACTATGGAAATTTAAGTATTGTCCCGTCCAAGTTGGTTTCCTATACACGGACCGTCTAATAGTGCCATCATCCCTTCGACTTAAAAGTATGTCTAGAAAGGCTAATTGGCCATTACTTTCTGATTCATGTGTCATCACAATATCGTTTTGAACACCATTGAGTTTATCCAGTAATCGGTAAACATCAAAATCCTTATCACATATAATTAGGATATCGTCCATATATCTTCTATATAGAGTTGTCTCACTAATGAGGTCGCTCGTCATATTTTCCACATATGACCTGAATACCTCAGCTAAGAGAAGCCCTAAAGGGCTACCCATAGTTACACCATCAACTTGTCGAAAATATTCAAATATATCAGCCATACATTAGGTCACTTGATGCCTGAGTAGTTCACTAGTAATGTTTCAGTTTATGAAGTTGAGCGATGCACGTTCGAATCCAGTGGTAAAGATCAATTTCGTCAACTAGCACTAAACTCAAGTCAAGCAGTGTTTCCTGCTAACTATACACACCTACCTTACATAATATTATTCTTTGCAAACTAAATATCAATAACACACTTACCGCTACGAAAGCAGGTTCCATATCATTTCTCACCATGTATGCTTGTAATTCGTCTATTGTGATAGTTTCTGAAAATGCCAATCAATCAATCAATAAGAATATATCAAACGTAGACTAAATGTTTTACACATGCACAAACAAATCTTAACCCATCAATATTTGATTGTTGTTAATAGGGTGACTGTAATCGATTTACATTGTCAATTTATTTTTAGCATAAACCACTTCCACATGTAAATAGAATAAGTGAACAATCATTTCGCATATACATATATATTTCTATGGGACAGGATTATGGAACGGTTGACCTTATTGTTTGATTAAATCGGTTCGTAAATACTAGTCTGTAGTTTGGATATTTTAATATCAGTGTCATTTAATAAACATAGAATAGTACTGTATAAACTTATGTTAATTTAATTCGGCTATTTATTTACTCTGGAAAAGTGGCTTACATTAAGTCACGAAACGTCAGAAATACAATTTTTCTAGGCATTGGGATATAACAAAAAATGTTTATTATTAGCTTCCTATTCATTGATCAATTTGTTTGAAACTATCATAGTCATAGTACAAAAAAACAGCAATCATAATTCGTTTGTTTATAATTACAGTCACATAGATGATTGAATGGGAAGGACTATTAATCATAGTTTCAGCTTGTTATAAAGACAAAAGCAAAACAAATTTATTTTCGTTTAAATTGGTCACGTAGAAAGTCCCATCTTAACCTAAAATCTATATTTATTATTATTGTTCATTAGTTACTTAGATGTTGATTGTTTTATTCAGAGTCTAATGTTTTTCATCAAAATCATGAATCAGTCTAAGTTAGACCACCATTGAGAATCTGGAAGCATTGGACGGTCGTTTCTTCCTAGTGTGGGACTCATCACTTATGTGTTAACTCGATTCCACACATTGGGCTTGAACCCAGAACCTTCAGTCTCATATACAAACTCTTAACCTTCAGAAGACTGAGTTGCCATCCAAAGATATTAGTTGCTAATTTAAATCTCCTACTTTCACAATTAACTTAATAAATAGTAATTGTTTCATCAGCCCTAGACTATCCATCATCATTGATATTTTGTGTTACATATTCGGAAGAAGTGATTTCGAATAGAGAACTCCTTTTACTGGAATCATTATTCATATTTTAAGAAAATTCAAACTGAGACTGGATTCGAACATATAACCTCAGGAATACTGATTAAAACAATTTGTCAATCAATCTGAAAGCATTTACAGTTAACTGAATTTTGAATTTAGGTGATTTCTTACGCAGTATGTCTATTTTTCCAATTATATAGTAGACAAATGTCTATTCAGACATTATTACTCAAGAGTATAGTTCAATCTTAATCGGAATAAAAAGACGTAATAAGCTACTAAAATTCACCAGAGCTTCAAACATCCGTTAATAATAACAAAATTCTAACCTGAACGATCTTGATCTATAGCGAAAAATGCTTCTATAAAAGCATCCATATTTATCATATGTTTTGCAACAAGCTAATCCACAATGTGCAGTCAAGACTTTAGAGAGAATTTGTTTCGTGTTTTTATTATTTTAGACACGCATTATGTCATAGAATAGGAACAGAAGCGTGGTTTTATTTTCGCCCACGTTTTTGAAGGTCACTTGCAAAGGCCAATTCACGAGAGCCAATAAGAAACCGATAAAAATATTTTTAGCATTTTGTTCATTTGTTTTTGTTGCCTAGATGAATTTATTTGTCTATCAGTTATTAAGATATCTGATAGTCCAATCACTGTCGAATTGTAAATCTGCGAAAAAAATCACCTACGCATATTGTTGTGACTGGAATAGGTTAAACATTAGTTGCTTTAGAGAAAAACAAAAAAACTAGTCGAAGTATATCCTGTCAGCAAGTACTGTAGGTACATGTTTTTTTTAAAAAAAAATTAGAATATTTTCACCAGATCATCATTACCTATTTTAGTGTTTGGTATGATGGTCTGTAAAACAACGTGTATATTAAATATATAAAACAAATTTTCTCATCATCCAGTAGTTAGATATGGGCCCAGCAAAAATAAATATCTAACCACAAATCAAGTTCTGTAATCGATAGTTTTCAGTCAGTCAGTCAGCTACAACGTAGGACCAGGCACATATGTGCATCGGTCCAGGTTGTCACACCGCATTAGCACAGCAAGATGAACACCGGATTCATAGGAGTGGTTAGGTCAAAGATGGTAATATGTAGGAGAAAGACTGCAATAAGGATATAGTGCACGAAGAAAGAATTAGTTCGTAGAAAGAAAGATATGAAGTGATTTTAGTCTCTTAGTTTAAGGGAAGACAGGGTGTATATACACCGACGCCATTGTGATCGATTGTGAGCCATGTCACCAAGAGTCTCCAACCATTGGTTACGATGGTCACGCAGGCCCCAACCAAGTAGTCTGCATCTACCAACATGGCTCAGACTAGAAGTTGGTGATTTCAAGCACTGATGCCACGTTTTGGTTTGGCCACCCCTAACTTTCTTCCAACCATCCCAAACGCCGGTTAGCATTGCACGTCGTGGTAATCGGTGTTCAGGCACACTCAACACGTAGCCCAACCATCTCCGTCGATGAAAATTCACAACCTCATCAACTGATTTACCATCATCCCCTAATATCCTGCGTCTAACCTCACTATTACTTATCCGGTGATCCCAGCAGACGCCAGCAATATTTCTGAGGCATCTGTGGTCAAATACTAGTAGCTTACGAGTATCTTCTACTCTTAAGGGCCATGTTTCGCTGCCGTAAATTAAAACAGAACGAACTGCCATGCAGTATACTCGTCCTTTTATTGAGACGGATATCTCGCCTTCGCCACAGGTGACGTAAGTTGGCAAAAGCCAAGCGAGCTTTTCGAATCCGTGCTGAGATTTCGTTCGATGCCAACCCATTAGGGCTGATCAGGCTTCCGAGATCAGTGAAGTTGTCTATGCGCTCGACTACTTCAACGTACGAACCCTATGTCAAATCTGTCAACAGGCTTCCATGGCTAAAACCCTAGAGTCTCTTAACATTGATGTATGCTGTGTCTCCGAAACATGCAGGACGCAGGCCAGTCCTGAAGCAACAACTTACATTTAGAGGGAGAGAAGCGCATCCCAAACTTTCTGACATTGTTGCTCAGTGCTAACAAAGGACTGCATTTTGTTAGTGCCTTCACTAAACAGGACTATGTCATCTGCGTATTCTAAGTCGATAAGTGGACCTCCCAGTCGGAGACCAATGCCCGAGAATTCAGTAGACGAGAATGTTATTTCCATCAGTATGTCCATGATGAAGTTAAACAAAAATGGAGAAAGTCGACAGCCTTGACAGCCAACACTTGAGGTTGCAAAATCAGATGGCAGTTCGCCATAAGCCCTGACTCGACTAGTAGTGTTCGAGTAAAGAGCCTTCACAAGGTTCATGTACTTTCGAGGTACGCCTTTCAATGACAGACACTGCCACAGAGTCTCGCGGTCTACAGAGTCAAATGCTGCTTTTAAGTCAAGAAAGACCACCATTGTCGGACGCCGATAAGTATGCCTGTGTTCTAGAATCTGACGAATGGTGAATATGTGGTCGATGCAGCCACGAACAGGTCTGAAGCCAGCTTGATTCTCTCATGTTTGCAGTTCACAAGTCTTAGTTAGGCGTCCGATAATTATCGAGGCTAGTATTTTAGATGCTATGTTAGTCAAACTAATCCCTCTATGGTTGTCACAGGATGATTTTGACCCTTTCTTATATAATGTGACAATAAGTGATTGCGATCAGTCAGATGGGATAACGTCTAACTCCCAGATCTTAGCTAAAATATTAGTCAATCTAATCGCTAAAATTAAGGCATCATACTTAAAGACCTCTGGAGCCAATCCATCTGAACCAGCTGCTCTTCCTCAGTTCAGATAAACTATAGACTTCTGAACTTCAACGAGAGTCGGGGGATCTAGTTCAATGTTCCATTCACGCTGTCTGGGAATTGTGGGTAATTGTAGAGTAGCTGAAGGCCAGTTGAACTGTTCTCTGAAATGTTCCGCCCATCGTTCTAAGCGTCTGGACTGGGAGCAGATAAGAGTGTCGTCTTTTTCTGAGACAGTCTCACTTACACTTGACTTTCTAGTTCCGGTTTCTCTTATGAGTCTGAAGAGCTGTCTGGTGTTACCTACAGCCGCCGCCTTTTCCATCTCTTTTTCTTTCGATGCTCACCACTGCCCACGGTCGTTCCTTAAACGTTTGCTTAACCTAGATCGACAGTTCTAATTTATGCACTTTTTTTTATAACTCATTGTAACCCATATTAATGATGAATTATTAGTTTATTAGAGGGAGATTTATTAAAATTGTTTGTTTGGATTTTCTCTCAAACTTTTCAACTGATATTTGTAGCTATTGAACAAAAAACTAACATGGTTTTTAGGCTTCATGATTCAAATCAGTGACACAAAATCTAAGCATTTCTCCAGTAGACTAAGGCGATACATCACTCAACCTAGACATTACCATAAATGGAGAAGTGTTATCTAGGTTACATACCGTAGTAGACTTAGGACTTAGATATTCCCAAGACTTGTCGTTTACAGAACATATATTAAAACAGACCTCTAAGTCTCAACGTCTAATGGGTTACATAACTCGAAATCTTTACAACACTGAGTCACGTATTCTAATGTGCGAAGTTTGTGCTCGACCTCTTCTAGAATATTGCACGTTTATTCTTAGCAGTGCGCTCATAAAGGATAAATTAAGGCTGGAATCAGTACAGAGACGATTTACACTTCGTATTCTTGGAGCTGATTGTACCTTAACTTATAATTTTAGGTGTAATAAACTTGGGCTAGACTCAAACTAAATCTTATCTTTTTCTTCAAACTACTTCATAAACTATCGTTTTCATCCGATCACGCGATTCAATATGCAGAAACCTCTCATTATGACATCCGTAATTCCTTGGCACTAGTGAAACAAACTCATTCTAAATAATCTCTTTATATGAATTACTTCACCTGTAAATTTTCTAGACTCTGGAATAACCTACCACAATCTATCCGCACGATAAAATCACTCCCATTATTTGTTCGCTGCATCGATGCATACTGCTCCTCCGAAAATGCATTGAATGGTATAGCGCCTTTAAGTGTATCTCATTCCACAAGTGATATTTTAGGAACCTTAAATGTTTAACCATCTTTATTAGTGAATCCCCTTAGTAAAACCACCCACTTGCTGTCAATATGTTAACACCGCCCCTAGCAACTTTAACTAATTTGAATAACATCAACAGTATATCACTGTGTCACATGACACACGCATTTAGGTAGACCTGATTCATATATTTTGGTAATTACTTTTTTGTTGTTCCGTGCTCTCTGTTTCCGTTTTAATTTCTCTAGTTGTAGGTAATTATCATTATTTCGATCTGGCACACGAATTGACCTTAATTACACCGTTCATAAATCAACAGGCTGTCCATTTAAGAAACATTAAAAATTCCCGGCTGATGCATTGGATCGCTGTAATATATGTACTACTTAAACAACTACTGAACTAGTATACTTAAAACTTTCTTTTATCACGTGTTTGTTCTGCACGTCTAACGTTATTATTTATATCAAATTGATCATGCTTGTAAACTGGCGTGAATTCTGTAATTATTATTTTTCAGAATATAAAATTAATATTATTATTATTATATGAAGTCAAGAGAATACATAGAACATTAGTTACAAAATTAAGGTAAATCACTTTTCTGAATTAAAGTTTTTAGTTGTTGTAAAACTGCAATAAACTGAAGTAGTATAACCCTATCAAAAGTATGCATCAAAGCTCTATGATTTGTAGACATGTAAACGAAAAACTCTCATCCAAAACCCCTTTCAGTAAGTGAACTCTGAACCTTCTAGTAAGTTATTCTTAGATCACTCTGTTGAAAACCAACAGTTCACATTTCCAAAATAAGTCAAGTTGTAGTAAATTACAGTGTTGAGAGTAACATATTAGGACAGAACAAGTGCCCAGCGTTATCTAGTTTTCCAGATGTTTCTGTATGAGATCAGTACATGATGTTATTCCTACAGTTTCTGCAAATCTCCCATTCTAAAAAGTTAATAAATCATATTATTTCATGATACAAATGTTAGAATATAAGCACTATATTAGCCACTAATTCGAAGTATGTCTGCTGAAGCAAGTCATCACTATGATTTCAACCTATAAATTTTAATTGTTAAAACAACTTGTTCATAACTTTTTATCGAATTAATATTATTATCCCTCTTAAAGAATAGACCATCGACTAAGGACCTCGAACCAACTCTATGCTTTCCTTTTTAGTTGTTGTGAAGAGCTACTGATGCTATCAATGCCTGTGTCTAACTCTCAGCTCCATGTATCCTTCAGTCTATCACTTTTTCTTCTGCCTCGAAGATATTACGTTAGGGTTTTTAAAAAGCATACCACGTCACTTTCACTAATTCCGTGATTCTATGTTACAGAAAATATTTTCTTTTAATTTATAACTAAAAGCCCAAAATGAGAAGCTGATTATTCTAATATTTCTTCATCTTCAGAGACCCGTAGATCACCACTGTAGATGGTTTGTTTACTCCAGTTAGATGGGAATGGTTTGACCTCTTAGATTACGTCAGTCACACCTCCCCATTGGTATCTAACCTGAACAACTTTGTCGTGGTATCCAAATAATTTGATTACTTTGCTCATTGCATCGAACAAACATAACATTATTAAACAAA